GCTAACATAAAAACTATATCGAATATGCTAATCGATTTATTCAGGTATATATCTTTTACAGGTATGCATAATAATCATATGAAATCAAAAAATTGATTGAAAACTTACTATTTGTACAACTATATTATAAATAATCTATGAATAATGAGTAAATTTTGAAGAAATTATTATTCATATAGATGGATTATACTTATATGCTTTAGCATGCTAATATTAATGATAGATAAATAAGGATAAAGAGTAAGAATGCATGAACCGTTGCTATGACAATCACTTTTCGATCGTCCTTTAACATTTTTTTTTTTTAACTTTAATCCTCTCATTTTACGAGTCATTGAAGGATTTCAATTTCGTTAGCACAATTTTTATTACGTCCGATAAATTAGCTATTAGTGTATGGGCAATTGTGTTGGCGGTTTTAGGATACATAAGAAAAAGTTACAGCACCACAAAAAAGCCAGGTAAATAAATAAATTACCTTCCTTGATTTTATCCTCTCTTTCTTTTCTACACTTTTTATTCATTTATTTTTTTTGAAAAAAGAGAAAAAGGATGGAAAAAAGTGATAAATTGTTTTCCTTGTAAATAATATATTTGAAAATTTTAATATTACTATTAATTGAATTTCACAATTAATTTCTTAATTGTATTTAAATATAATTAATTAAGAAAGATACGAATTTGCATTTTGGGCATAGATGGTGCTGGGAAAACAACAACTATATGTGCATTAGCTTCAGGTAATTATATTTATTTATTTATTTTTTTCTGTTTAAAAAAAATTTTTGAAAATTTTTTTTTTTCAAATTTAAACTTATGCACAATAAATTTATGATGAATTAATTATTCAATAATAATTGGAAAATATGTGGATGCCAAAAATTAATATTTTTATTAATTAATTAATTAATTATCAAATATATAATAATGATAATAGTAGTTAAGTGTGGAATAATCACTTACAGGTGAAATAAATGATATTTTACCAACGAATGGCTTCACGCTACAACAATTTAGATATCGAAAAGCTGAAATTATTGCATATGATTTGGGTGGTGATGAACGGATACGTTCAATATGGAAAAATTATTATCCTGAGGTATATAATTAAAATGCTAGGCTTAGGCTAATTTAAAATGTTAGGCTTAGGCTAATTTTTTTTTGCTTCATTTGAAAAAAAAATGCTTGTAATTATTAAAATTGTGTTGGAAATGAAGAATACATAAAAGAAATTAAATTAAAATAAATTATAATTTCTATTTTATGTTTATTAATAATAAGGCTTAACTAATTAGGTATTTGGTGTAATTTATGTTATTGATGGAAGTGAACAAAATCGTATCGAAGAAAGTGGTCAATTGTTAAAAGATGCAATTAGTGATGAAAATTTGAATAATAAACCATTTTTGGTAATTTTAAATAAAAAAGATCGAGGACGATGTATTGATGAAATTCAACTTACCGATCGATTTAATTTGCATAATTTAGCAAATCGATATCGGACACAAATTCGAGTGGTAAATTAATTTTATTATCAAAATTATAAATTAAGATTATTTAAATTTTTTTTTGAATATTTTATGATATGATAAAATATAAATTACAAGCAAGATATTATATAGATTAATACAAAAAAGATAATACTAAATGTTATCATGAGAATGTTCATAGATAACATAAAATTATCACTTTAAATGAATTATCTCATAAATATAAAATTTTGTAAGAGTAATAAAAAATTAATAACCACTTATTATCATAAGAAAAATTTCATAAATAACAATTAAAATTATTATCATTACAATGGGATTTCATCAGTAATTATAGAATTTTATAAAATTAATCAACAAATAAAAAGCTAAGCTAATAATCGAATCATTATATATTAATTGAAGAGATATAGCTCAATGAATGAATGCAACAACAATAACTATTAATGTTATTGTTTGAGGAAATTTGTCAAACAAATACGGGTAGTGGACGAATGATCGATATATCGCTTAAAAATGGTTTTGAATGGTTATTAGAACAAATTTATCATGATTATGTTGTATTAGAGGAACGAGTAAATGAAGCATTAAAAAAGCTTAAACGTCAACAAGATGAGCAACGAATAAAACGACAACATCATCTTGCTGCTACAATTAGCAGGTAATCTATTTATTCATTTATTAATCGTTCTCAAAAGATTTACCTGAAATTAAGGTATGTTTTGAGAGAGAGAGAGAGAGAGAGAGGAGGAGAAGAAGTAAT